GCATCAAAGTCAAGGTCAAAGACAGCGACACCCGCCCTAGACAGCTCACCCCAGCGGGGGATCTCAGTGGCCTCAGGGAACTGGTGACGCCAAGCGTCCGTCAGGCGGCCAAAGCAGCGCTGGGTGGAGTGCGCACCCCCGCACTGGTCACCCGCGCGGTCGCCGGTGCGTAGGACGTAGGTGCACGGACCAGTACCCCCACCCCGCTGGCGTGCAGCGTACCACTCACGGAGCTGCTGAGGGGGGGGGATGTCACGAGTGCGCTGCTGCTGCTGCTGCTGCTGCTGCTGGCGCTGACCACCACCGGAGCCGACCCTCTGCGCAGCGCCACCCCGACCAGCTCCACCTCCTCCGCCGCCGCCTCCTCCACCGCCGCTACCTCCGCTCCCACCGCCACCGCCGCCGCCGCCTCCGCCTCCACCGCCGCCACCGGCACCTCCACCCCCACCACCACTCCCACCGCCACCCCCACCCCCTCCACTGCCTCCACCGCCGCCTCCACCGCCCCCGCTAGCTCCTCCAGTGCCCCTGCCCCCCTTGCCCTTGCCAGTGCGGCGTCTCCCGCTAGGGGTAGACGCCGCACCGACCGACTCAAGCCCAACGAGGTCGGCCGCAGCAGCAGAGGCAATAGAGGGCAAAAGGGGGGAGGGGGAACACCCCTCAAAGATGGGGGTGCGAGGGTCACCACGAGAGGCTCCTACAGCGACTATGCTCTTCTCTGCTGCTAGGAGGGACTTCTCGAGGAGGTCAACGGTGAGAGTGGTGGGGCAAACTGAGAGGAAGTGGTCCCTGACTACGCGAAGGGAGTCAGGGAGCCGGGTGACTATGTAGTAGAGGGTGATGTACATGGGGGGGGGGTTCTTGGCGCAGAACTCAGCAGGAAGCGCAGCGCGGTAGCGAGTGTCACTAGTGCGGAGGTGCGTAATGAGGTCAGCGACTGTGGGAAAGGCGGCAAGGTCAGGGAAGAGGTACGGTAGCATGAGGCGGCTCAGTGCAGCAGTGGCAGGGGAGGAGTAGCGCGCAACTACAGCGTCGTACAAGGTGTGAGCACTCTTGTACTGGCTAAAGTGCGCACGCTCAGAGGTAGGCAGGTGGCGACGCACAGCAAGACGTGCAGCAGCATCGCGCGTGGCCCACTGTGAGCGAACAGTGGCGTCAGCATCAGCAGCGGGGGCAGGGGAGGCACCAGAAGTGAGGTCAAAGAGGGAGAGGCCGTCTGCTCTGTCGCACTGTAAGAAAAGCTGCAGGTCATCTATCCAGACGTCAAAGTCAATGGCCCAACCCTCAGCGTCAAAAGCGAGGACACTAGGGGTAGCCATGACAGCAGTAGACTAGCAGCGCAAACAGTAGGGTGAGGGCAGTGCTATGAAAGAGGCGCTGCTCTTACCGGACAGGGCGGCTCGGGTGGCTCGGCTGCAGGGCGGCTCGGCGGCTCGGCTGCTGGGCGGCTCGGCGGCTCGGCTGCAGGGCGGCTCGGCGGCTCGGCTGCTGGGCGGCTCGGCGGCTCGGCTGCTGGGCGGCTCGGCTGCTGGGCGGCTCGGCGGCTGGGCGGCTCGCTGCTTGGCGGCGCGGCGGGGCCGCTGAGAGGGCGGCGTCCGGGGCCGCTGGGAGGAGGCGGCGAGGCCGCTGAGAGGAGGCGGCGGGGCCGCAGGTAGGTGGCGGGGCCGCTAGTAGGTGGCGGGGCCGCAGGTAGGTGGCGGGGCCGCTGGTAGGTGGCGGGGCCGCAGGTAGGTGGCGGGGCCAGCACAGGTAGGTGGCGGGGCCGCGGGTAGGTGGCGGGGCCGCTGGTAGGTGGCGGGGCCGCAGGTAGGTGGCGGGGCCGCTAGTAGGTGGCGGGGCCGCAGGTAGGTGGCGGGGCCGCACAGGTAGGTGGCGGGGCCGCACAGGTAGGTGGCGGGGCCGCGGAGGGCGGCGACGAGCCGTAGGGGGCCGTGAGGGGCCGCGAGAGGGGCCGTAAGGGGCGTAAGGGGCCGCGCGAGGGGCCGTAAGGGACGGCGCGAGGGGCCGTAAGGGGCGGCACGAGGGGCCGTAAGGGCGGCGCGACGGGCGCGACGGGCCGTAAGGGCGGCACGAAGGGCCGTAAGGGCGGCGCGAAGGGCCGTAGGGGGCGGCGCGACGAGCCGTGAGGGGGCCGCTAAGGGCGACGCGACGGGGCCGTGAGGGGCCTAGCGAGGGCGCGACGGGAGGGAGAGCACACAGGGCGCGACTCGGGCCTGAGCGAAGCGCGCTCCGGGCAGGAAAAAAAAAAATTCGTGGTGGTGGGCCCTAGGAATCGTTCCCACTAGGGAACCTGCTCGATACCATGAGAAGAAACGAGGAATGAGAAAGACTAAGGGAAAGTTGGGTACAAATGCAAACCCTAGAAAACTGTACCCCATATGTGCTACCCCACTATAGCCTACAGTAGCTCTGTCATATAAATCTGACACTAGTGTGCTGTATGATTGAGATCTTAAATGCTATGACGACTCTATGACGACTGCTCTGCAGACTCCTTGAAGAGTCTTGTCTTAATAATAACATTCTGACAGCCTAGTCCTAGGCATAGGAGGTAGAAGGGTTTAGAGAGTGTGCTGGTGGTAAGCAAATCAAGATCTGGAAAATGCAAATGAGACTAGGTGGCAGGTCTGAGAGACCTGCAGGAATGTCAAGGAGTTTGTCTCCTTTACAGCAAACTCCTCTAGTCGAATCACAATCCTCAAATTTGATTTTTTTTATCTTTAAATTTTTTTACATATTGAATTATCATAAAGGTACTGCATTCTCCATTAGGACGCCGCTGTTAGTGAAGCTACCTTAGTACATACCGTATGCTGTTGATATACGTGTCTTAGCTAAGCTTGATTATTCCAACCCACGAAGCAAGTCTCCATTGCAAAATTTAGGTAGCAGTTTATCCACCACAACTCTCTGTCAGATCATTTCGAGTTTGCCAATTTGCACAACACTACTACCGTATGGCCCCGGATATAAGCGCCGTCCGTTTAAGGGCGCCGGCGCTTCTATCTGGAGCCATGCGCTTATGGCCGGAACTCGATTATAAGCGCCCCCCCTGTAAAACCCTGATTTATTATAAGCGCATGCCTAATTTTATTTTACAATCCTGTTTAAAACGGTAACGAATTTCGAATTTCAAGCGAGTCAACACCCAATTTCAATTTGTTTTGACTTTCGAAGGCTTCACTTGTTGCGCGTCCAGTCAGGATGAGCTGGCACGCGGGCAAAGTGACGTGCCAAATCTATGTGCACAGTCAGGGAATCGCCCTCGCGCGATTCTGATTCAGGACGCTGTAAAAGTTCGATTCGATTGGACTTACGAGACTGAAATGTACAATTTTGTGCGTTTAATTTGTATTTCTGTATTTGTCATTACATAAGCGCCGGCGCTTATGGCCGATACTCAATTACAAGCGCCCCCCTTAAAAAAATCGATTTTATTATAAGCGCATATGCGCTACTATCCGGGGTAATACGGTATTCATTACAGTATTTGGTCTACCCTCTACATGTACTGGTTTTGTTCCACTCATCACAAGTTGTGATTGCAATACCAGTATTTTACTGCTCTGAACCATTGAAAGGTGACTTGCACCTGAAGCTTACCACTAGTTTGCAGTGCTGGTATACCCTGGATATTCCGGAGGGCTTCTAAGGAATTGAAAGGGACGACGTTGGATTTGAAAGGGGCCATTTTGGTGTCTCGAAGCACGAAAAAAATGGTCTGGATGACACAATATGGTAATGCTCATATGCTAATACATTTCCAGGAGCGAGTTGATAGTCGTGTTTGTATGCCTGGAGGGATCACAGGGGATGTTGAGGTGAGTTCATGTGAGAGTATGAACTGTACCGTGCATGAATGTGAGAGCATACACACTACCATGCGTGCCTGTGAGAGCATACACACTACCATGCGTGCCTGTGAGAGCATACACACTACCATGCGTGCCTGTGAGAGCATACACACTACCATGCGTGCCTGTGAGAGCATACACACTACCATGCGTGCCTGTGAGAGCATACATGCTAGCATGCATGCAAACGGTTTGAACCCACACGAGAGTGTGTCAATGAGAAGGGCGTGGGTGTGAGTGCATGTGAACGTGAGTGTGAATGCATGTGGGGACATGAGTGGGAACGTATGCAAGGGTAGTATGAGAGTGAATGCATGCGCGAGTATGAATGTATGTATGTGATGTCACAGCAACGAATCAGTGATCAGCCGAGCTGTGCCTGCAGTGCGCACACCCACGATCGCAGTAGTGGGGACCACGGGGCACAGGGGAAGGCAGAGAGCAGGCAGACTGCCACCTGGGAGAAACAAGGAGCAGGGGAGGTGAAAAGGAGCAAGGAGCAGGGAAGGTGAGACTGGGAAAGAAGTGAAGAATAAGACCACATTACACATCCATCACCACGCATGCCATTCGAAGAAGTAACAAAGAATTCGTGAAAAGCAACTCACCACACAAGTCGGCGAAGGTGCCTTACCATCCTCCACCACACATTGCACTCTTGGGGTTATGAGTGGTCTGGTCACTCACCACACGTGGTCACTCACCACACGTGGTCACTCACCACACGTGGTCACTCACCACACGTTATGAGTAGTCCAATGACCAATCAGACACTTAGAGCACTTCATGTTAAGGACAGCTTAGTCCCATCAGACACTCAATCGGCCACCAAAGCGGCCCTTCTTACCACTCTTGCTGCTGTGCTTCCCTCTTGTGTCATCACCTGCCTCACCTGCCTCACCTGCCTCACCTGCCTCACCTGCCTCACCTGCCTCACCTGCCTCACCTGCCTCGCCACTCGTCTCCTGCTGCTGTACTCTAGGCCCACCAAGTCACCTTTTCACCAAGCTTCTCCCACTTCTGACCCTCCTATCCATCCAACCCCTTTCTCCCCGTCCCATCCACACCGTTCCCCCCCATCCCATCCCTCTTCTCACCTCCCATCCGATTTCTCACCTGCCACGCCACGCGCCCCACAGCGTCTCCTCATGCCCCGCTAGGCACTTCAACAACACTGCTGCCACTCGCACCCAAATCAAGAATCACCTCCTCACACAAATGTTCCCTGTTTCCCCCCTCCCCATCCCTCTCCTCACCAGCCATCAGACTGGCATGCTGCTGCTGCTGCTTCCCAGTCACATTCTCGCCGCGCTGTGCTTGTCCTTTCTGTTCCTTCCTTCTGTGTGCTTGTCCCTCTTCCAGCCTTCCCTCTGTGTGCTTGACTTTGTGTGGGAGAGGCAGGTGTGAGAAGCGGTGCAGATGGCGTTTGAGGGAGAGGGGCAGGGGTGGCGGTGGGGAGGCGGGGAGAGCGAGGGAGAGGAGGAGGGGGAGAGTGTGGAGGGCGAAGGGAGGAGAGACGTCACAGAGGAAGGTGAGCGCGAAGAGAGCTGCATGGCGCTGCTGGGGTGGTGGGTTGGGATGTGGGGGGGTTGGGGAAGGGGAGGGGGGGGGGGGGGGGGGGGGGGGGGGGGGGTTGGGGAAGGGGAGAGGGGGAGGGGGGGGGGGGTTTGGGGTGATGGGGTTGGGAGGAAAGGGTGGGGGAGGTTGTTGAAATTTTAATCGAAGGATGGGAGGAAGGTGAGCGCGAAGAGAGCTGAGGGTGGGGGGAAGAGGAACAGTGGAGGGAGGGAAGGAGGGGAATAAGGGAGAGAGGCGGGGAAGGGAAAGACGCGAGGAATAGAGGTGAAGAAGGGGGATTGAGGATGAAGGGGGCAGAGACAACACAGAGGAATGTGGCCGCAAGGAGAGCTGCGTGGAGGTTGGGGTGGGACAGTTGTATGGAGAAGGCGAGGATTCAGGGTGAATTGTGTGTGCATGGAGGTTGGGGTGGGAAGGAAGACAAGGCAGAGGATGCAGCGCGAGCAGCGAGCAGGAATAAGGGAGGGGAGGACGGGCGGCTATTCAGGCGGCAGGAAGGGGAGCCGGGGGGGGAGTGAGATGGGCGAGGTGCAGCAAGTGAGGGGGGGGAGGAGGAGGGGGGGGGGGGGGGGTGGGGGGTAAAATTGTGAGAGTACCATAAAGCGAAAAGCAAGCAACTTATGCAGAATAATGACACCATAGGCGCACACACACAGGCACACAGGCATGCAAACCTAAACACACCACCCGCTTCACCTCCTACTCCCCCTTATCCCCCCCTTCCCCTCCTCCCCTTCTCTTCTCCCTCCCTTGCTCACCTCCTGCTGTCCCTCTGCTTCCATCGCCGCCCGCACCACCAGCTCCTGCACGTGTGCCACGTCAGCAGCCAGCGGAGCAAGGCAGCCAATCAGGCGCAGCGCGAGACAGCGGGCTTCCAGGGAGTCAACGGAGTCAACAGCGTCAAGAGCGCCAGCAGCAAGGGACGACGGTGGCGACGGGGAGTCACTTGGCATGGCTGCAGTTGTGCCTGCTGTAACTGTGACTGTTGCTGCTGCTGCGGCGACGGTGGGTGGGAGTGGGAAGGAGGAGGAGCGAGAGAGCAGAGGGGAGATGCGGGTGATGACTTGGGTTGGATTCAAGAGCTTCTGAGGAATCAACACGCCTGCCCAGTCACCGCCAGCACCACCATCACTATCACCACCATGACTATCAGCATCACTATCTCCATGTCTCTCACAGCAATCACCACTGCTGCTAGCACCGTTGCTTCCATCATCATCACCATCAACGCCAGCACCACCACGTTCTCTCTCTGCTCCCCTCACGACCACTCTCCCTCCCCTCCACACATCCCTCACTCGCTCTCCCTCCCTCCTCCATCGCCAGTGCAGCAGGCTGACGTCACACATGCTGCCGACGTCAGGCATGGCGTCACCGTCCGCGTCACGCCACCCAGCAGAGGGGGGCATTCTCAGGGCAGCAGGTGCGAGGGATTGGCCAGTGGGTGCAGCTGGCGTGGCATGATGAGATGCAGGAGAGGGCGGAGAAGGAGGAGAAGGAGCAGGGGGATAAGGAGGAGAGGGAGGAGAGGGAGGGAGAGGGGAAGTGGCGGTGGAGAGGTGGAGGAGGAAGAGCTTGAGAATGCAGAGGCGGGTGGCGCTGCTGCTGCTGCTGCTGAAGGCATCAGCCAGGCGCAGAACCAACGAATTGAATTGTGCCACGTCACTCTCAGACACAGGGGCTTGTCGCTGCTGCCCCTGCTCCTCCCACCCGCTCCTCCTCCGGCTCTCCGTCTCCCTCCCCCTCTTCCTCCTTCTCCCCGCCCCTGCGCTCCTCCCTGGCTGCTGCGCCAGCGTCCAGTGCACGAGGGCAGGCCCGGCTGCGAGAATTCCGTGGCACTGAGTGGCTGAGAGGGCGGGGACAGGCGGAAGGGTGGAAAGGGTGGGAGAGGGAGTGAGAGGGAGGGATGCAAGGGAGAGAGGAGAGAGAGGGGATCCAGGGGATAGGGTGCGGAAGAGCGGAGAGAGGGGAGAGAGTGGGGAAGAGGGGAGAGGGAGTGGGCGAGTGAGGCGAGTGTAAGGTGCGGCGCCGAATGTTTTTCCTCTGCTGCGAGCCCGCTAGAGCGGGGCGAGCGGAGTGCAGAGAAAGCAGCGCGGCTGACGGTGGCAGGAAACGGGGACGAGGACGAAGGCGGGGAGCGGAAAGGGCTGAAGGGAGATTGGGACGAGGTGGGGGCGAGTGGAGGAGCGGGCGAAAGTTGGTTAGTGACGCCGTTGAGATTCGCCGGAACGGAAGCAGGCGATGGCATGACAAGGCACAGCGGGTGAGAATGACAAGGCAGGGAGAAGGAGGCGGCTCGGCGTGGAGCAGAAGAACGACTCTTTCGCAGTGACGATGGAAGCGGCGCGGAAGTGAGGACTAACACCTAGTGATCAATAGATCCGCGCGTACGGAACTCAGGGTTTGAACTCCAGTGAGTTTAGGGTTACGATTAATTGCGATTTTAGGGTTACGCCGGTTACATGTGCTGCGCACCGTGGTTTCAACGGCGACCCACCAGGCTGCGTGGAGCGCAAGGTGCGCTCGAGATGCGCCATCCAATCCGCCGACGACTCGCCATCACGAAACGCCATTACGTCCTTATCAATACCAGCTGCAGCTCTCGAGCAGAACTAATCGCGGCCTTGATTTGGGCACAACGGTACGGCGTGGAACATTTGTAAGCAAACATTGCAATTTGGCAACCCCCTCTCTGCTCGATGCTGGGATTGGATCTGCAGGGTCAACAGCTTTTGGGAGCGGTTTCCGTCTAGGAGGCAACGGGGGGTTTTCACGACACCATGCTCCCCCCGGTCCTGTCCCGTCCCACTGCCATCACCCCTCACACGCCCATCCCCCCTGCGTGCACAGGTATCCCGTGTACAGCATTCCCACGGCCTGCCACTGTCCCTCGTGCTCCCTCCCCCCGTCTCATCCCACGTGCCCATCCCCCCTGCGCGCCCATCCCCCCTGCGCGCCCATCCCCCCTGCGCGCCCATCCCCCCTGCGCGCCCATCACCCCTGCGAGCGAGCGCAGGTACCCGGTGTACAGCATTCCCACGGCCGCCACCACGCGGGACCTCGCCGCCTCCTTCCTCACCTTCCACAGCCTCTCCTCCCCTCTGCCCTCCTCCTCCGGTCAGCCCCTTGCCTCATCTGTCAGCAGCCCCTTGCCTCATCTTTCAGCAGCCCCTTGCCTGAATGATCAGCAGCCCCTTGCCTGATTGATCAGCAGCCCCTGTCATTGTCGCGCCTTCTTTTTCAAGGCTGAAAAGAGAACTCGGATGCTTTCTTGCTCGCTCCTTGTGCTGATTCCTTGCTTGTGTTCCCTCCGAAGCTGCATCCCTCCCAAGCTGCATCCCTCATGAGCTTTCGTACTCATCGTACATGCTTGCATGTCAAAGTAGCTCTTCTATTTGCCCGTACCTACCCGCTCTCACCCTCTCTCTGCACCCCAGGGTCGTGCAGCCTCTGCAGAGCCAGGTTCTGGATCGCGCCGCCCTCCTTGCCCGTCTTCCAATCCGCCAAGCACTTGCCCGCCCGCCCATCGTCGGATTCAGCTGACGGGGCGAGCGAGGGGAGGCAACGGGGGGTTTTCACGACGCCTCTGGTGCCGTTTGGCTTTGCGGGGTACAAGACGTGGGGGACGGTGTGGTCAGACCGGGGGGCTGTGCGGGGCTTGGAGGTGGCGGCAACGCAATGGCTTCGGCAGATTGATGCGAACCTGCCCGACCATGCCTTCTTTTCCAGGCAACGATAACCGAACAGAAGAGCGTAACTTGTTTTATTGCACATTTATTGGTGCTTTTTATGTTAACAAGTGAACGACCGACAAGAATGAGAGCATACTGGATATGTACGGGAGCAGTCCATATCCTCTATAACACAACCAAATCTAGGCTACAAAAAAGCGTGCAAATATTGTTAGAATGAAGAAAATAGTCGACCAGAATGGGAATGTACAGTCAGGTAATGCCAGGGCCTTTGCTAGGATTTAGAACATCCTGAGGCCCTGCATGTACGCCCTTCGGGCATGGCTGACGGTTCAAAAAAAGATGACTGATTTTTACCCCCATTTTCTCCCCCCTCAGCTCTGCCTGCCGCAAAATGGCTACCTGGAGCACACAATTTGAGTTCTTTTATAGCAGTCGTGTCAATGCTATTTGTAATATCTACACTTTGGTATTGGTGTGGTTGGTGATTATAAAGTATTCAAAGCCACAAAGCCCCGCATTTCTCGGCTTCCTCATCGCGCCTCGGATCGCGTTGCTACTTGAGAAACGCGTTAGCAGCAAAATTGATGGCGAGGTGAAACAAGTTACCGTACGGGAACGTATTGCGTAGTTTGAAACCTCGGTCGAACACATAAATGCCATTTTGAACCCAATGCTTTTCATACGCCATGATCACCATACTTGGCGGCGTGAATAGCGGTGGCAGAGGTGAAGATTACCGTACTGGAACGCATTGCATTGTTCAACACCCTGGTCGTACCCATGAAATCCAATTTGACCCCAGGTTTTTCATGTGCCTTGATTTGGATGTCTTGTGGCATAAATACCGCACTCCTGGAACATAGCATTCATCAGAATCATTCCATCTCCTTTCTCCTGATCGCATCTATTTCTCTCTGATCTGTCAATCCGGTCTTCCTTTAGGCCATCATGGCAACGTTTTTCCGCCTCGCGAACATTGTCCGCGCCATGCTGGTGTTGGCGCTGGCGCTTCTCCTCGCATCCCACGGTGAGTTGCGCCTCCCGCCGTGCCCAAGCGTTCCAATACTATCCCTGTTGTCCAGTGTTACCTGCAGTATGCAGCCGCACTACGTCGTGGCACCTCCGTATTCTCCGGTTTCAGACCTACTACTTGGTCCCATTTGAGCATCGATGCTGATGCTTTGCGTTTGGAAATGCGGATGCGTTGGAACTTATGCTGCTCTTCAACATATATTTGTAAATAACATCCTTAACACAGTTCCGTTGGCGGCGGGGAGGAAGAGCATGGTGGATCTCGCGGAGCACTACCAGACTCGCGGCGAGACGTGCGCCGTGTTGCTGAAGCGATACTACGCAGGCAAGCAGTTCAAATTCGCGGCCCTCAACAACGGCCGTCGCTGCGAGGACCCGATCGCAAAGGACACGATTATCCGGGTTGTGTGAGCGCGCTGGTGACGACCCCAATTTTGAAAATCATGTTAATTCAAAAATCTGGCGGGATCCAACGTCGTCGTACGGGACGACGACACCTGCCAGTGGGAGGTGATAGCTGAAGATGGTGGCTGGCTTTGTTGTAGCATAGTTGCACTTTATCATATTGTGACACGACTCTCCGAGGAGTGTGCAGCGCAGTCGTCATAGCATTACAAATCTCAATTATACAGCACACTCTGATAGGCAATAACAGTTGGTTCAACCATAAGCTACTAAGAACAGTCTACGATAAAAGGGGGTTGGGAGGGAGGGAAGCAAATCAAGATCTGGAAAATGCAAATGAGGCTAGGTGGCAGGTCTGAGAGACCTGCAGGAATGTCAAGGAGTTTGTCTCCTTTACAGCAAACTCCTCTACTAGTCGAATCACAATCCTCAAATTTTTTATCTTTAAATTTTTTTACATATTGTGACACGACTCTCCGAGGAGTGTGCAGTGCACTCGTCATAGGTAAGCGAGACATCATATCGAGGGAATGTGACGATGACGTGCGAGGGTGGATGCGTAACGATGGGTTGGACTAGGACGCGTCGGGTCCTGAAGGGTACGAGACGCCACCACCAACTCGCGATCGAGTTGAGTGACATACAACTCACGAGCCTTGTCGCTACGCCATCGGCCGAGAGCCTTGAAGAGTCGATTGGGAACACCCACATCGACTGCCACAGTGGCCGCCGATTTGCGGAAAGAATGCGTGCCGAGGACATTCGGGTTGAGGCCGACCCGACAGAATGCCTCGCGACACCAGCTTCTAACCGTGGCATATGAGGGGGATCGGTCCGACGGCGAAGCGCGAGCATTAGGCGGGAACACCCTGATCAGGGCGCCTAATGTCTGTGAAGAGAATCCCGCGAGGAAAAGAAATTGTTGCATGCGGGCGACTGGGCAGTGACGAGCAGTAGAGGCGGCAACTGGGACCCAGGCACCTGATCCAGCCTGATCCGTTTTGGAGCGGGGAATGAAGAGCCACATGCAGTCACGATCGAATTCGATCTGGTGCCACTGGAGGGCGATCAGGTCGGAGAAGCGCAGGAAGGCCGCGAACATCAAAAGGGGAATGAGACCGCGCTGGAACGTGGCGGGATCCGACGACGCGAAATAGATGTCGCATATGTCGTAGATCTTCGCCGGGGGTATCGGTTCCTTTGCTAGTGAGGGTTTGCCACAGTGGCGCTGCGCATACTCCCGCACTTGTGAAGAAAGTGGTCCTCGAATAGGAGAAGGGCAGCCGACCAACCAATGGGCACATGAGATTGCGGAGCAAGCGGATCGCACGGCCGATACGGTTGCGCCCCTTCGGATCGAGTGTAGTAGGAAAAGAGTCGTTGTCAGGTCAGTAGCGGGGAGGAATGGCAGCGAATGCTCGTGACAAAAGGCGCGATATTGTCGCCAGTATGGTTTGTATGTGCGAATGGTTGATTGAGCGCGCAAGTCGACTGTGAGTGTCAAGAGGTCCATCATCAAGCGTCCAATGTAAGATCCTGCATGTTTACATGACTATGCATTAGTATATATCAAACGGAGTGCATACATGTGCGAATGGGGAATACCGGCACCACTAAAGCCTGGGGATAGCTACCAACACCTAGACATACGGAGCCATGGGCGAGATACATGCTCTCGCGGACATCATTTGCCCACGCGGTGCCCTTTGGGCGCAGCAATGGCCACCAAAAAGAGCTAGGCCACTCCGGGATCACAAGAGTTATCACCGTTCTGGAACGACGGGCGTGAGCAATAACAGCTGGGATTAGGGGCGGTGGGGGAAAGGCATAGCAGTTCTCTCCTGTCCAACTGAGAGAGAATGCATCTTGCACGACAGCCTCTTTATGAAAGTTAAGAGAGCAAAAACGGGGCAGCTGTGCGTTGGACGGCGACGAGAACAAGTCGATAGTGTGTGGGCCCCAGCGACGCTGCGAGTAATTGAAACCATGTCTGCGCGAGACAATAGTCATCATGAAGTTCAATTTTTGAGAGCGCGTCAGCCTCGGTGTTGAGCTCTCGAGGGATCCACTGTGCCGTGAGTCGAATCTTGTGGCGCACGCAAAGCGTGATGATGGCGCGACAAATTAGGGTGAGCTCCGCGTGGCGCGAACCACCCTTCTTTAAGATGTAGTAAGCTGCCTGGCTGTCGCTCCGAAGCAACACATGTGATCGCCGAATGTCGCGGCTGAAAGACGCCAGAGCCCACAGAATCCCAGCGAGTTCACGATGCGTGCTTGAGGCGGCTGATAGCGTGCGAGGAAATGGAGAAGAACTTGAGCCGACGCGACCATCCGGCGTAGAGTAGCAGCTTCCCCAAGCATGGTCGCTTGCATCCACATACATGACCACGTCATAAATGTGCGGATTATGGAAACAATAACCATTGAAGACGTCGAACTGAGTCAGCAAAAAATCTCAGCTCGTCAACTGACTCTGGTGTCAAGCTAAATGGATTCCCCCCAAGTTTGGCACGCACTAATTTGAGAAAGCAGGTGATGGGAGAAGGCACGAGCGATGGTGCCAAGTGCCAGCGTCATAGAGGCTAGCATGCCTGCCACTCTAGCCACTCGGCGAACTGGGGTACGACGGCCCTGCGTGCTGATTCGGCACAAATGGTCGAGTTCCTCAAACAACCAGCCTCGGCGGTCAGCATCGACAGAGAAGGAGGAGGTGCGAGTGTCTAGCATGAGGCCAAGAAATTTGAGCCGTTGCGAGGGCTCGAGTTGTGATTTCTCCATATTGACGACAAAGCCGGCGGAGCTGAGGTCATCTAGAATGACGGCTCGTGTTCGGATTGCCTCAGCCCAAGTAGCACTGATGAATAGGAGATCGTCCACATAAGGGATTAACCGAATCCCGTTG